TGACTTCTTGAATGCTTAAATGGGTATCATCGCTGAACTTAAACATCCATCTTTCCAATGATTTCTGCTACGCATTCAAGTGAATGCAGAATAAAACTTTCAGAAAGGTTTTTTTGCAAACAAACTATGAGAAGAGGCGCATGTTACCGTCTGACATGGATAAGTGCATGGTGAAGGCTGCTGTCTAAGTATGCCATTTTCTCTAATCGATGCGTTCTCCGAAACGACGATGAAGGTTTAAACCGACACTAACAAATCAATATATAATTTTTTTCCTTATATGCAATGCGCAAAACACACGTGTCTGAATTTAATAAAGTGATTATCTGTAAGCAATGATAAATACCTTCGTTGAATCAATTTTCCTTGTTCTACAGGGTTCGTTTTTTCCAGTCACGTTGGAGTCAGTACATGTAAAGGATGTTTAGTAAAGCCCCTAAACTGAACTCTAGGTTTTCGAAGGTAAATCCCGGTGCATCGCGTTACATCACGCGTTACATCACATGATTCATTTTTGTTTCGGCTTTGTTGACTTATTACTGTACAGGTCTGCTGATGAGTAATCGAAAACGTGCGTGCGCCAACTTTGACTCCCAGATTGCTCACGTGGGTATAATCAGCTAGCCAATAGCCTACGGGAGAGGTCGTCCTCAAAATCTTACGCTAATGACTCAAACCACCATTACTATTCCTTTGAGCGCTGTATCCTGGTTAAGGTTCTTTAAGCAATGGTAATTAATCAATAAAACCGGGTCATTAGTTTTCTTGTTCGCAGTTAGTTACTATAAAAGCCAGCAAATAAATTGTAAATCTAATTTCCGGTCGGCTACCGAAAGTGAACTGATTTCATTGTCAAATCAACTATTGAACATTGATGATTTTTCTATACACAAACGCTGTTAAAAACAATATAATGACCAGTAGTCTCCATTACAAGTGCTATTTCTTTTGGCTCATGTCTTTGATGAAGAATCTGCGACAGATATCGAAAGTTCAGGTAATAAAAGTGTTGTCCTCACGACCGAATCTTCTTCTTCTCCACCATTACAACTGTCTGATCAGCGCTTAGCCGACCATAGATCCCAAAAGACTGATTGTTCTAGCCTATATAACAAGGCTGTCTCGTCAAAAACCTGTTACCTCAAACATTTACATTAAAAGCTTAACGAAGTATCAGCAAATGATTCGAACAGTGGAGGCTGATTTTAAATTTGGGTCCCGAAAGCTAAGTTCTAAGGGCCTATTTGCGAGAAGTCTTTACAAGGCCGTCAGGTTTGAATGTAGTTGTTTCGACAGAAAGACTTCTTCGGATCAGGATTATCTTACAGTTGTTTCTAAATGGTGCTTTTGGAAAATTTATAGCCCAAGCTTGACAAGGCAACCTAAAGACGGAGAAAATATGCAGTTATCGTATTTCTGCATGAAGTCTACGAGCAAGGTAAAAAAAACTGTGTTGCTTTATCTAAACAGGATAATTACCCAGAACTTTATCAATTAAAATATTAAAAAAACATGTATAAATTAACAAAGGGCAATGTGTAGTTTTAGTTTCATTATGCATGCAGCTTTCTTTTTTTCATGTCGAACTAATAGAATTTATATGGACTTTGTACATTCTTAAGACGGCGAAGTCAGCGTCCTCATAGTGGCCTGTGACAAGCAATGTTTTTAAGTATAAACAATGAAGAGCAGCAGACCTTTTGAGCTTAATGATTCGTTTTCTTAACCCGAGAAAGGGTTAGGACCACTTGGATTAATTAAACAGGCCAGAAATCAGTCTTAAAGTCTACTTATTGTTTTTGATAGTATTTTATATCGTGACTGCGCTCAACCTTTAAATTTAAATGTCGGTCTGTTGTGCAATTTTTTTATGCAATTAAATCGTTGGTACTAAATTATGTCGTGATAAAGGTGCATATAACGATTTATGAATAAAACCTGTAGTCCGCATATTTCAGTCTTCATTTCGTGTTCACTGCAGTAATATTCTCCTCAAAAGAACCATTATATTTGAACCAACACCCCACTTTTCAATCAATAATTGCATTTATACGAATATTAACCACCTGTGTTTCATGGCTGAAGAGTATAACTTATAATGAAATGTAATAGTAAACACTGTAACTCTACTAAAATATTATAATCATAAGACCAATTAATACAGACTGAGGGCTCAGTCATAAACGCGAAAAACAGCAATTCAGCTGTTTAGGCACAACACTTCAAACAGCCCATGATATCAGCGATATTATGGCTTTTTGTTCAACTACTATCCTGTCAGCTTCGGGTGGTCATATTTGTTTACCGGTAGACGAAGCGAAAAGGGACACTACAAAACAAGACTGCCATGCGTCTTTGGAAGTAATAGATAAAAATCAAGAAAGTCCAGTGGACATCAAAAGGCGCTTGCTTCGTTTTCAGAATACAAATAATGTGCGATAAAATTGTAAGGGGTAAAAAAGAGTGCAGAACTTGAGAAAATGTGAGGAGATGCGAGCCCTCGAATTTGCAGGAAAAAACATTTTCCAACTTTTACTGTTAAGCTAACTACTCATTAGAACTGATTAAAGATTAAAAGTAGTTTTGTAAAATTTCCAGAGCAGCAGGAATTTGGTCAGTGAGTTGCAGTCGAAACCTAACAAATACGTCCCAGTAACTGTATGCATCATCCGCTTCAAATGTATGACAACGAACCGTTGTCGTAAATATTTAATGTACATGGTGGTCTGCTCATTTATAAAAACTGCAGTTTAATAGGTAGAAAAAATGAGACAAGCACATGCCCAGTTTTTAAAGTATACGAGAAAGTAGCCAAAATGCTTACCTCCAGCGCAAACATATTCTTTCGCATATTTTGTACGTCCATGTCAAATCGGTTTCTGGCATCTTCGATCCACTTGCTGCGTTGAAGGTCCCAGCTGGGATTTGCGACGGCTCGGTTCCCCACGGTACTACTCTCTGTCTTTATGCTGCTCACGGTGGTCGTGTCAGTATCCGCGGGCCCAACGGATGAAGTGGTGGTTTTGTAGCTCCGTTCCAGCTTTGTAACCATGTCATTTCTCTGCTGCTCAAAGGTACGCGGATCCTT